CAAAAAGAAGACCAGTTGACTTTGTGAGCCCTTTCTACTCAGTAGAGTCCTACAAAATGGCATATGAGAATGCAATCATGCCAATGAGTGGTCAATCTGTATGGGGGCAGACTTCTTATGTTCCTCCCTTACCCCCCATGCCTGGTAAGAAAAAAGGCAGAGGCAGACCCACTTCTTTGAGAAGAAGAGAACCTGATGAACCGAGGGGTAAAAGGAAGAGGTCAACTTGTCCATACAAACTTAATAAACAACAAACAACTTTGAGGTGTTCTAAATGCCATGAAGCAGGTCACAATGCTCTCAGATGCAAGGTAAATTCAAATTTGTCCTTACATTTCTTTTATTTTCTTAACAGAATCATGTATTTTGAATACATTGGTCATTCTAAGAAACTTCTTATGCTTATGTATATTGTATAGGTCACTGTACAAACCACAGAAGATGCACCACATCAACAGGAAGCAAATGCCAATGCCAATATCCCCATCAGGAGGGAGAAGTTAAAGGTAAAATGACATATTTTTCTAACAAAATATATCTTTAAATTAATTGCTCCTTATCAACATTGCTAGGTTACTAAGAAAAACACAGATGGGGTTGGAAAGTCTTGTGATGCACCACAGCAACAACAGGATGTTCATGCAAATGCCAATATTTTACCACCCACAGCAGATGGTTTGATGAATAGTATGATCTCAGATTAGGAGTTGATGGCAGCAATTGATAACTATACTGAGATGGACTCCTATGAACATGACCAGCCTCAGCCACAAGTATATTTTCTTATTTTTATTATGTATTTTGTTTGCTCATTAACAACCAAATTCTCTATAACTATTTATATTTTTCAGGTTACCAAAAGAGGTGTGGAGAATTCATTTAATGCACAACAAGAGAAGAAAAATACAAATCCAAAGATTTTACCACCCACCCAAGAGGATCTGATGGATAGTGTGATTTCAGACCAGGATTTGATTGCAGCAATTGAAAGCCAGGTAGACAGCAACCTATATCAATATGTGCAGCCTCAGAAGCCAGGTCCTTCTCTATTTGAGCAGCTGAACATGTCCTCAAACCAGCCACCTGTGACTAACCCTCTGCAGACTAGGATCAATATAAGAGCACCCCCACCAATCACAGGAGGATATAACAGACCATTATTCAGTACCAAGCCCAACAGCTCCAAGTCAATTGTGGTGGAAGGTGGGAAAAAGTTCATGAACCACTCTCAAGAAAGCCAAACTGGAGTGCAAATGAAGAAAGGGAAGGGGAAAAAGAAGTGAAAAAATGAATGTTCACTTAGATTTGTTTTGGACATGTTTTGTTTGTGAAACAAATGGATTTTCTCTTAGATGTGTTTTGGGTAGTAATGTGGACAAACAAGTTTTGGTGTAGATGTTATTTGGATTTTGTTTGAATGTTGGATTTGTTTTGGTTCTCATGTGGTTCTTGGAATTTTGTTTGAATGAATGGTTCTTGGAATTTTGTAGATGTTACATGGATTTTGTTTGAATGAATGGTTCTCATGTGATTCTTGGAATTTTGTTGTTGGATTTGTTTGAACAGGTTCTTGGAATGATTCTTGGAATGAACAGGTTATTGTTTGAATGTTACATGGATTTTGTTTACTTTTATGTAAACAAGTAAAATAAACAGGTTATTGTGCCCTTTTATGGTCTTACAATTTCAGCATTAAACAGAGCAGCTAGAAAATAATGACACCAAAATAGCTTTTGTCATTCCAAATACCAACATCTTACATTAAACAAATGCTATTACACAACATACAAAAGTAGCTTAACATAAATAGGATCCTACCATCTTAACCATCCTACCATTCAAAATGCAAACACCAACATCATCACTATGCCAACATTCAAAGTCACTGAAGCATTCAAAATGCTATTAAAGATCCTAACAATATCTAAACATAACACTTCACAGTCACTGAAGCATCTTCACTTGATTCATTCCATTTGGGTTCTTAGCACCTTTGAAATTGGATAAAATAACCAACACCAGCAAAAGAACCAAAATGAAGACTATCTTCTTCAACTTTTTGTTCAACTCCACCAACTGTTCATTTTTCTGTTTCAGCTTCTCAATCTCAGTTTGCCTTTCATTCATCTTTCTCAAGAGGCCCGGAATTATCATTTTAGACCTACGACACATTGGAGGATCGAACCAGTCAAAGTAATCACACCCACTATGCTGTAAGAGTCAAATTTAGAAATCAGTAAACCAGAAAATCCAAGAACATGAACCAGCATAGATATTCTAATTAACATCATTACTAGAATTCTAATTAACACCTCACCTCATAATTCAAGCATGACTCGAATCGCCGCCCAGGGTTGGTGTCCTTCCATGATGTCCGAATCACCGTCCTCTGACCACAATGGCATGTCCCATCTCCGGTGACGAAAGACATATTTCAATTAGGGTTGAGATTTGAAAATTTTTCAGAAATTGTGGGAAGGAATCTGAGTACGCCCGTTTCTACGTTGATCTTTTGCTCAATTGTATTTCGATCGACACAACTTCCGTGGGGAATTTGGGGATTAGGGTCTTAATGTGGAGCGAAATCTGAATTGGGGAAGAACGATTTGGGCAAATTTTTTTTGCCCGATTTTTCTAATTTTTCGGCTTTTATGTTTTGCTGAATCGGGCCACGTGGGACGTCTATTTTCCAGCAGGGCAAAAAAAAAGGCAGCATGTAAATAAAGAATGCCACGTGAGCGACGCGTGGATTTCCGGCCCGAAAAATCGTAAAATGTCCCACTTTTGATCATTTTTTAAAAGTTGTAGGACCATTGGTATTTTCGCCATTCCGTTGGGGCCGAAAGTGTCACCCCCCAAATTTGTGGGACTACTTGTGAATTTTTCCCTTCCATGCGGTATGACTCGGGGTTTGAATCCTTCAATTTAACTTCAATAAAAATAAATATAACAACTTCGTCAAGGAGTTCGCTTAGTCAGCTCGAGTTACAAGTTGACCTGGTCAGAGCTCCTCTAGGAGCTTGAAAAGATGAAGGGACACCATGACCCGAAGGTCGTGGTTGCGACCTGGTAACAGTCTATGGTAACTATGACGCGAGGTCGCTGAGGCGATATGAGGACCTAAGAGTCGTATGGTAAGAAGAGATATAATTCTACTAAGGATGGTAAGCGTATCTCGCTAAGGAGATATCAAAGACGTGTTAAGCTAAAAAAGTAGACATGGTTGGAGTTGTTTCCTATCACGGACTCTACTTAGGCAGCGAGACAACCGGTTATATAAAAGTTGATTAGGTTACTTTTACATATTGTATGTTTAATGTTTTACGCTTACAACACATACTTTACTGTCATCTCACGAGCAAGTATTGGTTTAAGCGTCAGAAATTTTTCCGCATGAACACCTTTCAGTGTATTAAGTCACTGAAGCTCAAATGAGAAGAACCCTTCATATATTGGTAGGAATTTAACATGATTTGAAGGTAATTTACGTATCAGATATCATCACTAAGGTGGTGATTGTTTATAGTTTCAATAGTAAAAAAACTAGTTTTTATTTAGTTTATTTTTAACTATAGTTAATTTTGAAAAAATGTGGTGTGGTTAGTTGTTAGTGGATATATTAAAATAATATTTAAATAAAATTATTAAAGTTGATTTGATGTAAAGTAGAAGAAAAATGATTGGAAGTGATAGTTAGTTAGAATTATGTGAGTGGATGAATAGTGAAATAAAGTTGATGTGATGTGCCCCGCGTTGTTTTTCCTTTGGTGTAGTTTGTTTTTGAGTCTGTGGTAGCTTCGTGTTTTTGGTCTGGGCTCTTGCCTGAGTCTGTCTGTGTTTTTGGTCTTGTTTTTTAAGTTTGGGCTGTTGGCCCCGGTACTAGTTATGATTCCCCTGTGGGGGGCGTTTCTATTCTCCTGTGGGGAGCGATCTTAGTTGGTGTGTTTGTGTCTGTTAGTTGTGTGTTTGTTTTTGTTTTCTAGCGTGGCTAGCGAGGTTCTAGGCGGACGTTTGATCCGTTCTCTCAGTTCATAGTTCCGGGTTGTATTATTCAGCCTTGGGCTGCTTTTGCACAGTTGTGCGTTTTGATTTATAATATCTCTATCGTTTTGGCAAAAAAAAAAAAAAAAGATGTGTAAGAATGATTGGTTGATATTATTTAATTATATTATTAATATTGAATATAATGGGATAGAGTTAAAGTTGAGTTAAATTTGAATTTTATTTTAGATTTTTTACTATTGAATTTATATACAATCACACCCCAAACTTGCCATCGAAGATGATGTGTCCGTATAAATATTTCTAAACTTGAATATAACACTGGCGCTCATACCGTCATACGATAGATAAATACATATACTTTTGTGTACTTGATTTTCAATGATATTTAATAAAAAAAAAAAATACGAAATGGAAATCTAACATCAGTTTCCAGCCCCTACCCCCGTGTGCTTTGAAAACTAAGACAACAGTCAACGGATGGAAAAATATCAATACAAAAGTACCCCACACATTGGAAATGTTACGGTACCATCTTGTCGGGTGATTTCTGTTGGATCATTTATCTTATTTTATCTTATTTAACTATATGTGGATCCGACGATTAAAACAATCGATAGAATAGTAATGTAACGGGACCGTAGTAATTTCCCCCACATACCCATGGAAAAAAAAATAATAATAATAAATAAATAATAAAGTTGCCAACTCTGTTTAGGTCCCAATTTCCCTGTAAGATTTTTCAATGTCTCTCT